AGTGGTCGGCAAACTGCGGCTCGCGAGCCATATGCGTCTCTTTGGCTCCTTGAGTGTGGCTCTTCCACAAAATACTAACTTCTGCACATGGGCCACGAAGTTTCAATCGCACTGTACATGCACGCTTGCACATGGTATTTTGTGGTATTTTTTGGAAGAGCCACACTCAAGGGGCCAAAGAGCCACATGTGGCTCGAGAGCTGCAGTTTGCCAACCATGGGGCCAGAACATAATAAGTGATCCATGAACTTTTATGCAATTGCATGCAATTAATTGTACATTGAAGAGCTGCTCGATAGATATGTTTAGTATGAATACCATATGAAATTAATTAAATAATAACGTATAAAATCTGCCTCCACCCAGTAATGCTCCTTCATATTAGCCCCATATTTTTGGAATATAAATTTAACATATTACTTAATAAAAAGTCTCTAATTCTATAATTTATTATTAATATACTTAAACATATCTATACAACCGTATATCCAATAATTCCTGGCTGGGATTATTTTGTAGAGTCTGGTATCTTTATATTATTGACATTTTCTGTCTTTGTGTCTCTATGAATTCATATATAATTACTGTCTTTATGTAAAGTTTCAGTGTTTTCTTCTGAAATATTTTATGGGTTTTTCTTAAATTTATTCCTATGTATTTTACAGTTTATAGCTGCAGTTGATATTGAACTTTTAATTAACATATTTCTTAATTGGATATATAGATGAAAAATAACTTTGATGAGGTTACATGATAGATGGAGCATTCTAAGCCTGGCAGTCTTACTCCAGCTTACATGCCCAACCTGTGAAGCCATGTTGTATTTCTATGCTTCACTTCCTCTCTGAAAGTGTACAAATGTGAAATTGTAAATAATCTATGGAATAAAAAATAACCTGACAAGTGGGTGTGAAAGGGACAAATCACAGTGTCTCAAATGCTCTGCACAGACTTTGAAAATAGGTTACTAAAAATAAGTCATTAAAATACACGGGCAGGAATCATACACAGGCTCTCTTAAATTTTTTGGTGAGCCATTTTTTTGGGCAAAAAAAAATGCATTACATCAGAACTTACTGTATTAGTTTCCTTTTTTTTTCAAAAGCATCAATTTTCTTTTGGAATCTTTTTGTAAAAATCAGCGACTATTATTTATTCAAGAACATAGTAAGGCTTTACTTGGAATAGTATACATTCATATATGAGGAATTCAGGGAGTCAACGAATTATAAATATCTGCACATCATCACTATAGTTTAGGCCTATTAATCATTAAGAAACATGTATCCATGAATTAATAGATAACTAGGTAAGCCACTCTCAGGCACCAGAATCTTGACTATAATGAGTAAGCAAATTATTCTGTATTATCTAAGACATCAGGGGGACGGGGAAGGGAAACTTATAATGACTTTCTCTTTATGATGTCTGTCAATGCCCTCTAGCCAAATACCACTAAGTATTCACTTAAGTTGGTGTATTGAACTATACAATGGTGACCTCACACTGTGGGGAAAGAGGGTGTTATGTTAAAAAGAACTTCTAGGATTTGGGTTTGTGTTATATGTTTTAGGAGTGAGGTCAAGGAAAAGAGTCTTTGTTATGATTCTATCTGGTCAGGAAGAAGCAGTAGTGTATCAATATGTTACAGGATTCCAGGGCAGGAGGAATAGGGAAACTGAGAAGGAAACTTAAAACAAGGCCAGACAGTGTGAGCAATTGGCAGCCAACTTATAACTAATAACCATTACCTTCCCCAGCCAAGGACAGGAGAACAAACAGTTAAAAATCCTCCCTAATGAAAGATTGCAGAAAGAGAGGGGAGAATGCAGAATGCTTAGAGAGTAAAACTGCAGAAAGGAAAAAAGGGCAGTCTTACTCCCTAAGCAAAGAAGCCAGCAGTTCAAGGCTTGGCAAGACAAAGCTGCTTCTCATGATTTCTTGGAAGACCACAAAAAAAGTAAAAAGGGACCTTGAGAATTAATGTGTGCCAAAACAGTCAGCAGAGGAATTTTGAAGCCTATAGATAGGAGGGTCTCTAACTCCCCAGACTCCCACCCAACCTGCTCTTCAGATTAGCTGAGATGTATAGGTTTGCTTGCGTTGCTTCTTTAATAAAGGTGCATGCTTTAATTGCTTTAGTAAATTGGCTTTTCACAGCGCCAAGTCCCTCATATAAATTCATTTACATGAGAAGACAAGGAAAGGGGTTTGGCATAGCCCTCTCCCACTGACTCAGGGGGCTGTCCGGTAACACCTCTCTGGTGTTGGTGAAAGGTGACTATAATAATCATGCATCTAGAAGGAAGGAAAATAAAACTCTGTTAAAGAAATAATTTCTCAGGAAGCAGGAGTCACTCAGAATAGCTCAGGGGTTACTTGGCATATCTGTGGTTTGGACAAAGTTCTGGTTTCTGTTTGTGCTCAAACTTGATTATAGATGGGCTTGTTTTTATCTTGAATAGATCAATCACAGTCATAGAATAGCCTTGTCTGATGTCAGTGTTCTGTGAAATAGTTTATGTTCATCAGCAACACACCACAGTCTAGCTGTGAGCGCCAGGACTGAGTCAGCAAAATAAAATCTTGGGAGCTGACAGATCCAGACCTGCTATCAATAGTCAGGGGCTGACTTTTTCTGTACCAGGACAAGAAAAAAAGGATGAATTCATTATGAATAGAGTACTCTAAAACTTACTGAAACTAATAAAAAACAATCTGATAAGCAGTAGGTGTACTAATAATGATTGCCAATTCCCTACTTGCCAAATAACTCCAAATGTCTGTCACAAGAGGTGACAAAGTAATGGTTTGTTGGATTTAACCTGTTTTTCTTCTCTTTGTTAATTCCTTCTGATATTCCTGGCTGCTTATGCTCGCATGAGCTTCCTACCCTGGGATCATTTTATTATTACTTTCTGTCAGAATTCCTCAAGCCCTGTTTCTATATAGCTCAGAGTTCAGTATTTATTAGTAAGAATAAATTGGTATTTCTACAGAGATTTGCAGCCTCCTATTATATTTTAATAATACCTACTTAAATATTTTCACTTTTTTCTAGGTATAGTCCTGCATATCTCCACTGTAGATGTGTTACACATTATTTGGGGCAAGTAAAATTGCCCCGCTTTTGCTTCCTGACAGTGATAGTAGAAATCATCAAATTCTGTTCCCAGTTATCACAAAGAATTACCTCCAGATTAGGCCCTTGTATGAATTTATGCCCCATGTGGGCAGAAACATGGATACTCTTATTTTTTGTTTCCTGAACTAATCATCTCCCTAGAGTTTTGTAGCACTTAAATTTTACCACATACCCACTGAATATGAACATTCCCATCAGAGATATCTCTTTTAGTACAATTTTTTGTCAATTTATTATTTTCAGTCTTTATTTTTAAAGGTTACCATAATGTATATATAGTTTTAAAAATTTCTGGGGTCCCTCCTCCAATCTTCTCACCAAATAGGGGATTTCATAATTAACTTTGCAACAGTAAATACCAATACACACAGAGACACTGAGTTCACTTTGCATAATTACTTTGTAAGTTGGTGGTTTGGTCTTGTTGCTTACATATTCTTTAAGAAATTTATTGGATTCCAATCATTATACTGTATATTATCATCATAGCATATGTAACTAAGGAGTCAATCATATCTATAACCTGAATTATCACTAGAGGAAGAAGCTGTCCCTTTATTCCTTTGAAAATGAGGGCTGATAGAAACACATCAAAATGCAAACAAATTCCCCTGAGCCTAGACTGTCACTAGCAAAGAAGGCAATTTTAGCAATAGCTCTGTGTGTGTGTGTGTGTGTGTGTGTGTGTGTGTGTGTAGAGGGAGAAAGAAGAGAAGAAGGGACCTGGCTGAACAATGGTCTTACACATTCTGGAAGGTGATAGTATGTTAAAAAAAATCCTTATTCAATTTATATTTTTCTATTTGTATTTTTCAATTTGTTGTTTCTGGAATGATTGGAAAGGATTACAACTCCCTATTTCTTTATAAAGTCTTTACTCACAGAGTAAAGGTTTAGGCTTTCTGTGTGCAAAATATCTCAGGCCACCTGCAGGATATGTGGAATATTAACTCTGATACTTGGCCTTTGTTCCTATAGCATCCTACTAAATCTTTGGTATTCTTTTGACCCCTGATACTATTCTTGCCTTTTCATTAACTGTTAGATTTCCATTACACAAAAATATAAAATTTTAGGAATAAGAAATACATATAGACCCTAAAATAAGACCATACAGGCCACTGGCATGTTGCAGGAAAAATCACACAAAACACCATAGGCTTGCAAGGCCATTACCTCCCCTGGGTGTTCACCTGTAACAGCATTGGGACTAAAGTGTTGGTCCATTTCTGTATTAGGCCACTATTTTATGCTTTCCATCCCAAACTAAATTGCTGTTCAAGTACTACTCAAAATTTACACATCTATAATATGTAAGAAATTTAACTGGAACAACACGCTTTTCAAAGCTGTTTGTTTCCTTTTTTTATTTTTTTGAGAGGTAATAATACAAGAATCTGTAACTATTGAAATAACCTGGACATTTAAAATAATCTCTTTGTTATAAATCTGCTCTATTTGTATTTTACATTAGTATAATAATTTAACATATTTAACAAAACAATTTCATCTCTTTTTATCAATTTAACAGGAGGTTTAAAAGTCAAAGGAAAATATCCTATTTCCTAAATTTGGGCTGAAAACATGGGCAAAGAGTCCCATCTAATTTTAAATAACTCCATTCATTAATGAACAGTGTAGTTGTAAAATACTACTGACATATTTCATACTTGCCTGTATACGTAACATAGGTTTCTATGATAGCTATCCTAAATAAACCATTGGTGTATAAACATTTAATACTTCTACTAAAATATTTCACAATAGGTAACTTAAATGAATACTTCCCTATAAGTAGAAACTGATAAATTTCTAGTAGCTTTTTAGAATTTTGGCTTTATGAACCAATTTTAATTATTTCATTACAATATTTTGTCTGTTTTTCTTAATTCCAATCAAAAGTAAAAGTTCACCATTCGACTATATAAAACAAATAATTTAGTTGTGCCATCACATCAATGCACCCTAGTTTTCCAGGTGGGTGCTTGTGATTTGTAGCCATACGATCTGTGAAATAAATTGCCCATCTGTTGTTTTAATCCATTGTTTTGATTTGGGCAATATGATTGTTTAAAACTTTCTTAGAAGCACACAATAATTTATTTTGGCTTAAGAATTTAAGATTCTCAACCAGTCTATTCACAAGCCTAGTTCTTATACATTTTAATTTAAAATGCTTTTCTAATGATAATATAATATTCAAGTCAGTTTACAATCAAGTCAATGCTATCTCAAGAAGCATAATCATATTTATAATATGGTTACTTCACTTCACTGCGTAACATGGTACAGAATTATTTGCCCCTTTGATACACTCACACTTTTCTGAATCAGTTTTATAATACCAATCATTTCTTTTTTATAAGTCTCTCTTTTCTTGATTTATTCTATCTTCATGGACTTATGCTTCTATGTAGAATTACTAACCCTCGGATTAAGTCATTAAAAGATGAATCTGTCATTTCAAGGGGTGAAAAAAAAGTGTGACATTTGAATTTTAAAAAAAAAAAGAAGCAGGTCAAATATAGGCCAAGGAAAAGACCCATAAAATATATTCTTCAGTTTTCCCTCAAGACTCGCATCTGATAATAAAGTGAATGGTTTCTCATTAAATCTAAGCCATTTAACATATTATTTTTGTGTTTAAAAATGACAGTGCTTTTGCTACCAGTTTTGCATTTGGGAGTTTATGCCTCCTTTATATAAAGGTTATTTTTATTATCAATTAAGTAGGTCCTAAAATTATTTACACAGTTTATATAAAACCCCCATTATTTTTCTGTGGAGTTTTGTCTCTTTCTGCATTATCTTGTCTTCCCATTACAATCCTACTCTCCACTTCTTGCCTCATTTCTACTACCTTAGCTTTCCCTAGTCTCCCACAATGAAACATGCCAATTTTATCACCTGTAAATGTAATATAATGCCTAAGTTCACCACAATTTATGGTTTTAGAATAATTTTAAGAAGTCTCAGCATGTCATGTATTTTAGTATGAGACTTCTTTCTCATCAATTAGATATATTAGGCAATGCCAAGCATACAGACAATACAGTCTATCTAAAATTATCCTTACTAGAAATTTCATCCAAGAGCAGAATCAGATATATCATGAATCATGTAAAGGTTAATCTTTTGGGTCTCTAATTAGCATGGTGGCTTTCCAAAGCCTTGGGAGGGGCCCCAAATTTTGTATTACTAATATACTTTTCTTTTTTTTCAAAGTATACCCACATTGTATAGTCTTCAGCTGCCACAAAATCTAGATCCTTTCCTCCTAAGAAGTATAGTTAAAGATTATGCCTCTATTTTTTTAATATGTAGCTCCCACCTCAACCTTCTAATGTCTTTCAAACTGATACCCTTTCTTTATATTCTTGATCACAAAGTTTAAAATTTAAGGCATTTGAGCTGGAGAGCCACTTTAGGACTAACTACAAGTAAAGGGATTTTTATTGTGTGCATGACAATTGCATTATCTTGATCTGAATCCTAGATTGTTTCTCAAAACTATATGGTAGGGTGATGATATATTAAATAAGCATTAATAATATCAAAAAATTAAAAATAACCTAGTTTTGTGGCAAAACAACCAGATAAGAGTGAAGAATTTAGTATAAGATAAATTAGATAAAATAAAGTGATTAGAGAAGAAATACAACTAAAGAAAAAATCCTATAAAAAAAGACTTCTAAATTTTAAGGTTAACACTGAAGAAATGAAAGGATGAAAACTGGAAAAGAACAATTGTAAGTAAAATTTTGGATATTATTTTAGATTTTCCCTATTAGTATTTTGAAGGTGAACAAAATTTTTAAGTTTGCATTTCAATTTCAGAAAAATTGTTCTAAAACCACAAAGTAATAACTTTATACTATCAATGGAGGTCAGAGTCTACTACAATCATTCACCTAAAACTCAAGGTTTTAATACTTTTTATGTAAAATATATAAAAATAAAATATGTAAAAATGAAGATAAAGGACTTATAAAAAAAAAGACCAATGCTCATTCTAAAAGAAATCCAATAAAAATCAGCTGTGATTGTAGGCTGTCAGTCTGAAC